TCAGTGGAAATGAATGGGAGCAGGATGCCAGGGCCAAGTCCACCCTGTTCGATGAAAGTATGGGCCGCTGCACGCCACTCGTCTTGTCCCCACGTGTGTCTGAGACGACACCGCGGTTGGTTACCGTCCAAAACACAACAACGGCACTGAGTAGCTGTGACACTGAGACCCAAAGAAAGTCCTCCAGCTTGACCAACCAGTGCAGCCCTCCCGCGCGAACGCAGGGAGCGGAACAGATGGCCGTCCGGCACTCTCGGACAGTTGCCAAGGACACAGAACATGGACGATGCGCAACTGGCATGGAGCCTTTTGCAACGCGCGGAAGATCCAGTCCGGCATTCCGACAGTTTCAAGATCAATCTGGGCGGTCAGTGAGTCGGCAGGCCCAGATCTGCCGAAAACCCACGAAGAATTGGACGTGCCGGAGGAACACTACAAAAGCGATGCAGATGGCAGCCAGATATGCTGAGTGCTCCCTGCAGTGCGAGCTGCGCCGTGCTCGCCGGAGTTGGGCGGCGATCAAAGCTGCTTCCAGCCTTGCGGCATCAGTGGGCCGTAACATTGCTGGAAGCAGACAACTTGCCCTGCATCATTACGGGTCGGCGCCGTGAAGGTGCTCGCGCTGGAGTCAACTCACACGTCTGCAGCCACGAGAGCAACATTCCCTGGTGAATAAACAACCGTGCACATGGTGTCATCAGGTCCAAACATCAGAGGATTGAAAAAGAGGCAAGCAAAAGTTCTGCAATCCGCGACCTTCAACAGCGCAGTAGTCGCGGCATCATGGTCCCACAAAATGATCTGTTTGTCTGGGAGCACTCGCAATTACCCACCACAGTGCGTGACCTTGCCCCACCAAACAACGGCCTTATCCAGCCCCGATTCTCGCCTAAGCGGAAAGAAGATGCACGCATATTTTTGTCATGGCAACCAATCCAACCACAACGGTTGAGGATGTGCGAAAGAGAAGCAATTTTTGCAGAATAGACTGAAGAAGGTCAGCAGCGCTGCTGTACATTTCTTCTATCCGCCATTTCTCCTTCTCCTTGGGACTCCCTTGCGCAAATTTGTTGCAAATTACATTGGATGAAGCTGTGCACCTCTTAGTGAAATTTATTAATATTTAGAATCTCGGGCGGACCATGCTGATGGCCAACTTTGTCAGAACGAACTCTAGTTCAAGTCACGAGGACTTTCGGCCGAACCCATACTGCATTATCTCTTAGGCCGTGAGACTTAAAATGCGCTATGTTCGTTAGAATTTCTAAAAAGAGATTTAGCAGTCTTCAGAATCTTTTGGGTCTCAAAGACGCGGCATTTGAGGGATTTTTAGAAAGAAAAAAATGTATGTCCATTTCGTTCTCTTGACATTTCTTAATCCGATAAATTTTAGGAGAGATGATGTCATCGAAATCTAAAGATAATTTGAATATTTAAATTTTTACTATTAAAATGAATTCCGATTTCTCGGAATTATGACTTCTGGATAGGGCAAAATAAAGAACGATAATATAGTTGAGAATTTGTTGTAAAAGAATAATTTCGAATTCGAATAAGGTTGAAATTACTATATTTTTTTCTATAGAAAATGAAGATTTAAAATAAATTATAAAACGATAACAAATATAGTTATTTGATTCATCTCATCAAATTGATTCGTATAAATTATTTTTCATTTGATCTTTAATGGACGAAAAGATATCATCAAATTCTCGTCCGAGCACGTAAGGCTATAATGAAAAATTTTAAATAAATGAAGTTCTGAAAATGATTTCGTATTTGGAGGAAGGAACTTTTATTTTTTGAAATAACAAAGTTTTTATCTATCTATATTTTTTTCATTTGTATATATCATATGAACGAAAATTATTTATACTCCGAAATTAATAGAAAAATATATTTTTCATATCTATATGATCGAAAATATTGTTTTAGAAAACAGAAAAGGTTGAATATTCTTGATATTTATATATTTATTTTACATGATATAACCTCGTCGCTATCCATTTTATCATTTCATTTACATTCTGGATATTGAAATTCAAGATTCTTTAATAAGCCCCGCTTAAAATGAGACAAAAATGGAGAGGATATCTATCGAAATCGAAAATATCTTGGGTAATAACCCAAATCCGGAATATTTTAAATTATTTCAAATATCGATTCTTCGGAATTCCGAGCTTCAGATAGAGTCAATCTAAGACTAATACGATTAAATATATATATAGTAAAAGATGTTGGAGGTTGAGTTTGATCATAGATCCTAAATCGTTCCTATTTTCATCTTGCTATCTATCTCTATCTATCTCTCTATCTTTCTATTGCTCTATTTCCCTCTATCTCTCTCTCTCTATCTTTCTGATATCTTTCTATATCTCTCTTAATCTCGTCTCTATCTCTGTCTATCTCTCTGTTTCTCTCCCTATTTGAATTTATATCTTTATTCATTTTTCATCTATCTTTCTATCTTTTTTTTATCTATATCTTTCATTCTCTATTTATCTCTCTATCTATCTCTCTGATTATCTTTATTTCTTGCTCTATCTCTCTTTAATTATCTCTGTTTCTTTCCGTCTGTGTCACAAACGGAGCCAAATCCCAGCAGAGGCTCATCAGAGAGCAGAACCTTGACCTGCCTGATTGATTCTGCAGCCAAGACGCTGCAGCCATACCGAGTTGGACCTTCCACGCACCACCGCAATGATCGGAGCCACACAATTCTGAGGTTCCCCACAGAATCCGCTGCACATTTTTCAGCTTCTAAGTGTTTGAGAAAGACATTCGCGGCACCAAGTTGCAGTCAGGTCAAAGCGTGAGAAGATCTTGCCGATCTCTACGTCAAAACCACACAAGGTAGCAAGAAATGCGCCGCTGTGAGACCGCGCAGAAGGTCGGCGCCCGTCAGCTGGCACAATAGTTTGACCGTGATGGATAACAGGTGCGTTCGTTGATTCCGTCAATGCCCCTTCAAGCTTCCCTTCAAGTCTCCTTTCAAGCCCAGCCTTCAAGCCAAGCCTCGCTTGAAGTCCTGCTTCAAGCTTCTTCAAGCCAGCCTTCAAGACCTCCTCCTTTCATGAGGCTTTAAGAGGGGCTTCTTGGAGGGCTGAAAACCTTGAAGCCCCTCGTGCCCGCTGAGCGAAGAAAACAATGTGATGAAGAAGATTCAACGAAACAAGCGCAAGTATGTGGGAACAGCTTTTGCGAAGAAAAGAAGGGAGAGAACAAAACACAACGAAGGCATGACGAAGACTTCGAAGAGACGAAGCTTCCCTTCGAAATCGATCTCAGAAAAATTCATGGTGGTTTCAAAGTTAAAACTCAGTTAAACCTGGGTTCTCCCAAACCCGGTTCCAAGCCTCTGTTGCGTCTAGCTTCGCTGTATGTTCGCCGTTTTCGAATGCGAAGCCCCTCCGAATCGACGCCTTCGAGGCCATTTTCGTCCCCAAAGCCTTCCAAACCCCTTTCGAGGCTTCGAAGCTCCCTTCATCCTCCCGTCGAAGGCTTCAAGCCTTCATAGCCCCCTTCGAAGGCACCTCCCCTCCCCGTCCGCCCCTTCGACCTTCAACTTCGAAGGCTTCGTCCGGTTCGCCGCAGAGTCGCTGGATGGAGACACGGTGTGGCTGAAATGAGTTTCCAGACAGAGCTGTCAATTTTGCGGAACGTAACACTGCAGATGCGCAGATGCGCTCGATCGGAGAGTTTCGGGTTTTCGGGTTTGGGAATGCGACAAAGAGGCAATGCTTGTAGCAATCTTTGCTCTTATTGGCTGAAAGCTTCGATCAAAAGAAAAATTGACGCCTCAGTTTGGGCTCCATTGATTGTCTTGCAACTTCCAAGCACGTGCGACGTTGCCTCAAGCTTGAAGGCTGAAACGAGGCGCAACTTTGTTCCTGCTGTGCAGCTTCTAACCAAGTCCGCACGCTGCAATCTTGTTCACCAGTTTCGTTTCGATTACCTTTTCGTTGGTTTGTTCGATGTTCATTGGGACCGAGCACTGCAGCTGCAGCCACTGAGGCCTGCAAACGCAATAAAAAACAGAAACTTTGAAAGTGGGTTCGTGCGTGGGGACGTCTGTTGCGGAGGATTCCTCTTGCATGGACGCTCTTCTGTTTGCGGATTGTCAAACGCTTTTTGTCCTTGCCCATGTTTGTTTGTGGGCTCCAGCCGGACCGTGCTTTAGCAGCGAGTTGTCGAGAGCCATGCGTCTGCGTTGCAGTCGGAAGATCGAACGAAGCCTAAACTCCAGTCACGGTGGCAACCTCTTGCGGGTGCGAACTCCTGCAGCATGTCCCAGAAGCTCTTGTCGTATGGCATGGCTTCTGACGAACTCGCTCGATAACAGGACTTGTTGCCGCTCGTAAATCGAGGCCTTGAACTCGAAGCTGGGCCAACAAAATTGTGAACTTGGAAGTTCGGCCGCAAGGACACCGTAAAACACGCCACATGATTTTCAGGTGGCACAATATCTTGAAGGGAGTGGCGTTTCATAGCATGGTATTATCGTCGAAAAAAGAACATCTGTTCCGAACCGTTCTGGTGCAAGGTTTTGAGATTGGTCTGTTCCTGGTGAGCAACTACTGCTGGTTTGCAGTTGGAGTGCTTGAAGTGGTGTGAAATGCCACGACTTTAGTTCGCCTCTTTGTATTATTTTTGCAGATGCGCATTCAAAACTTCAGGCAGCAACCGTAGAAACCACTCGCACGACTCAGTTTTCGATGTTATTAGCACACGCCGCTTCTCCGAATTTTCAGCGGCACAGCTACCGTTTCGCGGCATGCCATGATTTCGCTTGTTCGCCTGAAGTGCAGGATTCACCAAAGTTTGTGCTGGTTCGAGATGTAGCAGCAGCGTCCAGCAGTCTAGCAGGCTGCATTGGCATGTGAACGTACAACACATGTGCATGTGCAAGAAAGCATAGCAGTGATAGCAGCTTTTCCCGCAGTTGACCACGCGCGATTCCCTTTTCTAACGCAATCGATTCGCATGGCAACTTCGAGTGCATGTCGGGAGTACACACAACAACAGCCTTTGTCAAAGCTGTCAAGGACATGGTTGTGGTGGGGGTGAGCATTTTCAAGAGCCTAACTTGAAAGCAGGAGTGCGCTGATTGCCTGAAGAAGAATGTTGTGTATCTCTTGGTGGTGAAAGATGGCACAACGCGGTTGTTTTGCCAAGCTGGTGTGTGGAAGCTGGCAGTGCCAAGGCGCTTGTGTATGAAAAAGATCCGTTTGGCAGCGACAGTCGAACCCTTAGGCTTGAACGGTCCATTCGCCAAAGCAGGGTTTGTTGATTCTTCATGGTTCAGGTGATTCTGAACAGGGAGCCGCGGATGAGCAGATCGCACAGCAGCAAAGCAGTGGGCACGAGCCTTGTGAGTACCAGTTGCAAATTGCAAGCTTTCATGTTGTGCTCCGACCATGGTTTCTGATTTAAGCCAGAGCTTGTGAAGCAGGGCCTCGTTGGGAGAATAAGGGTCTTGTTTGTTGAGTGTGTGTAATTTGCTGGTGTGAATCTGTGCAGCTAGAAGTCACAAAGACTTGGTTCTCATTGTCAGGACCGAAGCGGTAGCACAAGTTCCGAAGGTTGGTTTGCCTTGCAGCGATGTTTGAAGAGCTCACATTTCAAGATGATCTGATGTTGTAGTGAGTGAAGTTCATAGTTGCATGGGGGCAGGAAGTCGTCGTACATGAAGCGCGCAAGGCTTTTTTTTGGGGGTTTTCAGGTTCGTAAAGCCTTCTATAACCATCCCTGCATGATCTGTTGGCAGGTAGTTGTGCAGGAAGAACCAGACGATGACGCTCGCAGCAGTGCCTCAGCATCTGGGAGGTAAACATTCGTCGTGCATACACCGTATATGTGACTTCCTCCGCCGCATGTTCAGGTGATGATGAGCAGCAGGGTGCTACGACCATTGGAGATAATAACTTTCTTCAATTTGCTCTGGATGATCTGCTCACCGGTCCCCCGGGCAGTTTTTCGCTGCAATTTCTTGATGAGCATCCCTTCATGTCAGAAAGCACGACGGACTTCAATCTCGACTTGTGCAAAGTCCAGGTTCGGTGCTCATCAGGCATTTGTCAGGGAGTGTCCGTCATTTTTTTTTTGCGCGGGCAGGTGTCGCGGCTATTTTCCAAAGTCCGCGTGGGAGAACGTGTTGAAGCCGCCAAGGCAGAGAACACAGCGATGTTGGTGGAAGACTTGCCATTGCAGCTGTCACAGAGTCTCCCCCAAATTATGTCGCTACTCCAAGTGCGCCCATTGACAGCTTCTTTTGATTCGAGTGTCCAGTCCCCCTCAGCAATCTGGAGCTCTTGGTGTAGCCGGTTGGTAATGCAAGGATCGGTGAAAACTACTTTGACCATGCTTGGCCATCCCGGACGTGAAAGTCTCGCTTGCCGTCAGGATATGGAGCAGTGGATGAGTGTTCTGGCATTGTCCCACACAGAGTCTGAGATGATGCTCAAGGAATCGGAGGCACTGGGCGTGAGGCACAACAATCAGAAATCGCGTGAGAGCGAAGCTCAGGCTGTAACGGAAGCTGCGCAGCAAGGCTTGGAGGAGCGACGCCTTTGACTTGGATTGTTTTTATCGTTTTGATGGTTGCATCTGATGTCAGTCTGATGTCGTTCCCTGAAGATTGTCAGGTCAAGATATCGCAACACTTGTGGGGCAAAACAACATCAAAATCTCGACGTACTCCACCGAGTTGTCATGCAGACCTCACCATACTTCCGCGCAGTCCAATTCTCAAGAGAATGCGGGCTGCATGATCGAGGTTGCTTAAGGGTTTCATGCAGAAGGCCATTCGTGTGAGGACAGTCGACGCATTGAGCATCCCTGACGCACAGGTTTCGCAGTATCGGCTTGAGACTCTGGACATGCTCAGAGCAGGATGCTTGGTTTTGTCCTTTTCGGGAGCCATCTTTTCATGCAGCCAAAATATGTGGCAGGCCAAGTATGCCAAGTCTGCTTATGATGAATTCTGGGACGGACTGTGGGATGCTAAGCTTGAAATCACCTGGATTGTTGTTGAAACCCAAGTGGACACTGCATGTTTCTTGGTGGAGCTGTTGAGCAAATTCATAAACCCTCGCAGAAACGGAAGGATCCATGGCGGCAACGCTTCGACTAGATTTTTCTGGCGTCTACCGGACAGGACAGGTTGCAGCGAGCGTTTACGAACGCGACAGCACTGGAAGGCGAACTCTCGGAGCAGAATCCCAGCGAGAAGTGTCTTTTGTTTCGGAGACCCTGTCGAAACTTGTCGGTGCGTTTGTAATTTCTTTATGGGCTTTCCCAAGCCCGACTGTGAGTTTAATCTTGCACTACCTGCGCTTCACCCGCGCGTCACCTTCGCCATCGAGCTTCGTGAAACGAGTGGGTGGGTGGGTTTGTTGGCTTCGGCGATCTTCACGCAGGACCCACACCGGTTGTGCAGTACTTGCTGCAAGGAGCCGAGTGCACGGACTATCACATGCATCTGGCCGCACGCCGGCTGCGCTGATGGCCCATTATATTTCCTGGGCGACACCATGTGACCGAGGATTCTGAGCTTCGAGGACCTGGTGCGTAAAAGTGGTTTGGATCATGAGGAAAGCAACGTGGACTGGAGGAAGGCGGACATGCATGCACATCAAATCCAGTGATGGGCGGACGTTGAACCTGACACGGTCTTGCACCCGTACTGCGACTGCGACGCTGGAAATTCAACCTGGGCTTGATGCGCCTGAACATTGAACAATTTTCCCAAGTTGCGGTAACACGGAGAATAAATTTCCTGAGGCACCGTTTTCGGGCCAAACGTAAGCAGAGTTTTCAGATAATGCATGGTACCCCTTGTATGCACTTCGAAAACACTACAAACTCGAGCCATGACGTAACATTGCATAACCCGGCGAGGTACCCTTCATGCCAACGAACCAAGGCCCAAAACTTGGACAAATACATTGCACAACTACCGCCCTAGATTTACAAGATCTGCATTAAGGATCAAAGCCGGCACACCGCCGTAAGACGTCCAGCGACAGATTACATTCCCACAGAGCTGCGTCATGCGCTGCCGCATACCCTGCTACCTCGGTCGGCGGGAGGGTGCGCAGGGCGTGGTTGGCTCGGGGTGACGCGCAGAGGGCGAGGAGCAGCCAGGCACACTGAAGGTCTGGGAGTTCGGGGAGCTCGCTGAGCAAACGCTTCCACAAGACTGCTTTTCCTCCCTACGACGACTGGAAGAAAACAACGGCTTCCGAAGTACGGCCTGCCCCGTCGGCTCACGACTTTACTTCTTCTTTCGAGGATCTTTGTTGTTTTTTCACCGCCCAGTGGCTGCTCTACCGCTGTCATTCTAGTAGGGATGTCAATCTTTTTACGTTTACCTTACACAGCTGTTATCCTACAAAGCCGAGTGGCCACACGCACTCAAGTTGCAACCCGCCATCAACAACCTATAGGACTAGGGGTGAAGCTTGTCCAGTATCTTCTCCAAATCCGGAAACCAATACGCCAATAGACATGAAAGCGACATCATATCCAGCAAATGCTTTACCCATATGACAAGGTCATAGGTAAATGGACATACCCAGACACCAAGTTACGTCATGAGATTATCCGCGTCAGTCCTCGATAACAGGCGCTTGAATTAACACGAGACTCGTCAGAATAAGTCTCTATGAGACCCTAAATTTTCTGGAAAACACATGCAATGAAAGTTGTTAATAGGATCCGTATTTGAGTTAAAACGTGATATGATACCGCGGGCCTTATGAACAAAACCATGCGACATAAAGACACTTTCCCAACATAAAACCAAGAATCAAAAGATACTGCCGTCCGCATATATCGACAGGATGGAATTCATCCACAAACTGTCATGTAAAAACTACGACGGCATGCGTATGGTACGGGGATTGTAATTTGTATGATAAGCATGCAATCCCACACCATTCAAGTATTTAACTTAATATGCCAAGCTGGTCCCGAGCCGTAATACTAAAACTCGGCAAACTTAGGCTGCCTAGACCGTAGGGTTGAATTGCATTACAAAGTTACATACATCTTGATTTGCAAATTCCATAAACAATGCCATCCACATTTGAATAATTACATGAAACACGATGCACACACATACAAAAACCTGACTCTAATCTATCATATGTGGAGTTCTGCCGAAACCATATCTTCTGAAATCAGTACGAGCATATTCTACAAACCCCCGGCATGGGTAAATATAATATGTTCCTGCCTCATCATTTCATGCTTATGAAGGAATCCTGCAAAACATTTGCAAGGAAAATACCTAACATGTGGAATGAGGGAAACCGCTTGAATACGAGTTGGTTTGGGACTGCGTACAGATGCACATGCTAAACCACCTTCTATTTCGACAGTGATTTTCGCTACATAACGTGCGAATACTCTGCAAATATTGGGGCCCCACAGCGTCCCTTTCTGCACGTCCTTTTCTGTAACTGCGCACACTGGCGTCTACGCTGATTTGTTGTTCGTTCTGACTTCGAGGGCTTGTCCTCGAACGAGCGTTCGTTATAGCCCGAATTGACTAGCTAGTTAACGGTAGCTAATGTGAAACATGATAGATTTTTTTTATTTTTTTTTTATTTTACGCGCCTTTTTCCGTCAGCAGGAAGGTCCCGCTCCGAGTGGAGTACGGTCACAGTCCCGAGTTAGGGCCGGTTCAGCGCAGCGGCAGGCGGCTCGGCCCGTCTGGGTCGGCCAGGTGGAGGACTTCATCCAGGGCCGGCGCATCGGTGTGTGCCGGTCCCGGCATGGCCCGGGCGCGCCCTAACGCCGTGTGACCAACGGCCTGCTGAACCGCTACGGAGAGCACGCTCCACCAACGGCGGGCCCAGGCTGTCTTTGCGGAGGCTCGCAACGCAGGCGGGGCTCGGTACGCACGGAGTGCGACGAGGCGTTGGACCAGCTTCACTGCGTCAGCGTTCCACCGCCCACCCACTTCGCAGCCGAGCACACAGAGGGCTTGTGCGCCACCGGCCGCGAGCTCGGGGTAGGTGGCTTGTTTGCGCCGGTAGGCGGTGCGCAGAACCGCTCCATCCTGTGCGGCCGCGCCTGGGTGGGGTTCGCCGTCGCGCGTGAGAGGCGAAACTAGGGTCGCATCGCAGCAGAGCGCACCACCCAGTGGCGCGGCGCCGTAGATGACGAGGTCGAGGCGCCTGCGGTCGTCGGGCGCGACGCCCAGCGCAGTGGTGTTGGCTGGACGGACGTGCCTTCCTGGGAGTGCGTGGTTCAGGGAGCGCGCCCACCCGACCGCCCTGACGGGATCGCTGAGCCCGGTGAATGGAGGCATGGGTGGCAACACTCTGCGTCGCGTACACGTAACCTTTTCTTCCGCGACCACGTGCTGCTGCCTTCTCTGCCACCTCCTCACCGCGCGCTCTTGCGTTCCCAGGCCGGTCCGCATGCCGGTGCATGGCTGCAAGCAATCCCCCGCGATTCCCACACGTCGCTCACGCCCGAGGCCATGCAGATCGCGTTGCGTCGCAGGCTCCGGCTTCCACTCCCGCTCGCGCCTGGCCGTTGCGGGAGCGCCTCGGAACCTGGGTGCGGCCACCGTGCAGATGACCTTGGAGACCATGCACTCGCGTGCCCTCGTACTGGCCTCCTGGCGAGGCGAGCCAAACTTGTTGAGCGGGCCTGGTGCAAGGTTGCACGGGAAGCCGTGGGGCCTGAGGGACACGTAGTGCCCCAACAATGGCTCGTCTGCGGCTGCAAGCAGCCCACGGGCCGCAGAAGCTGTTCGAAGGCATGCTGGGCCACGCGCGTCAGCGAGGCAGCGGACGGCCCAGTCCGTAGAGGCCGGGCACCGTTCGCGGAGCACTGTGAGGGCATCGGCCCAAGCCGCCCAGTACGCCGCGGGGCTGGTGCGCGTGGCTTGCGACAGTCCCAAACCTCCCAGGCTGGCAGGGAGCAAAGCGATGTCCCTTGCAGGGCACGACTCGTCCTCCGCGGTGGCGCCCAGACAAGCCTGGAGGGTGCCCCATACGGCTGCGTCATGTGCGGCGGCATATGGCGCATTGAGGTCGGGAGGGACGGTCCGGAGCGAGTGGTTAGCGCGGGGTGCGGCGCAGAAGCTGAGGAGGAGCCATGCGCACTGCAAGTCGGGCAACTTAGGCAGCTGGCGCAGCAACATGTCTTCCGCTTCGAGTCTTTCGGCGCCCCAGGCGCGGACGTAGTCTGGCGTGCCAATGGGGGTGCCGAGTGCGACGAAGCCATGCTGCTGTTAGGCTGCCGCGCCAGACTTCGGAACCCAGATCCGCGATCCCTGGCGGCGGCGGCCCACCTTCGAAGTTGAAGACACGCGTCTTGCCCAAGTTGGCGGATATGCCCGCATGCGTCTCGACCGCTCCTGTTACCATATCCAGGGCGGCTCGCGCACGGCTGGGCTCAGGCATGATAGATTCGATCCATTGGCAGCTTCGCAGCTACGGCAATGCGCGAAGGCAAACATGATGGAGCACCAAATCACCATGCACGACAAAGTGTCGCCTCGATGCCATGAAAGGGAAGCAGGTTTGGGGGCACGTGAACTGGGGAAAACACAACCGCAGTACTCGTGCAAATGACCACACGCCGCAGCCTTGAAGCTCAAAGTCCCAAGGGCTTCGACGTTTCCAAGCCCTAACACAAGGACATGTGATGACAAGACACGACATGCGGTTTCAGTGGCTGTTTCTTTCGCAAGTAACTTTCCAACTTTCTCAGCAGCATGAATGAGTGGTAACGTGTTTCGGCCACGATTTTCTGGTCTACTAACCTTTCTGGTGTATGTAACACCGAACCACCTTTTCTGTGCTGCTGAAAGCACCAAACCAACACTGTCACGGAATGAGTCACACCAGGTTCAGCTGCTTTGGTTTTGGACAAAATGTTCTTGCTGGATTCACTCCTCGCGATTTCGTCCTGGGTGAAATGGGCGAACGGATCCTGTTCGATTCGCTCCTTAGGGTTTTCGTCTTCAGTCCTGGCGGAATAAGTAACTCCTAAGGGTTTTCGTCTTGGATAAAAGGTTTTCCCTGGATTCGCTCGTTATGGTTTTCGTGGTGCGTAAAAGCTTCTCGCTGGATTCAATCCGTAGTGTCGTCGTTTGTGGTCGAAGATTCCAGTGGATTCAGTCCTTAGGGTTGTCATTTTTGGGTAGAGACTTCTTACAAGCTTCACTCTATTGTGTTTTCGTCATGGATAAGTGGCGCTGCTCAAGGTTTTGGTGTGTTCAAAGTTCCTGCTGGATTCAGATGGTTGTCGTCTTCAGTACTCCAAAAATTCGCTGCCCGTTGGTGGTTGCTCCGTAGCCGCGAAGTCGACGGTCGTTGGCGTGAACCTGTGGCACTGTTGTGCGCGACAGCCACTGCTGCGGCACGACGCGACCTTCCGGACCGACCGCGTCGCAGGAGGCCCGTGCGTGGCCAGGCGAGGTGGTGGTCCCTGTATGCATCGACCTCAGCCCCACTTCTGTGTCGGCATTCCGCGCCACAGTGCAACGCCGTGAGGGGCAAGGGCAAACCAAGGC